AGCCTCCAATGTGCTAACCCTCAGGTCTCACTGGCTAAGCCTCCAATGTGCTAATCCTCAGGTCTCACTGGCTAAGCCTCCAGTGTGATGACCCCTCAGGTCTCACTGGCTAAGCCTCCAGTGTGCTGCCTTTCAGGTCTCTGACGATTCGCTGTGTGTGAGTCTTGGAAGAGAGTCATACAACTGCTCCCTTTCATGAATGAGAAAACCAAAGCTCAGAGAAAAGAACCTCATTTGTGGTTCCACCATTGGCTGCCCTTCCTAGAAACCATGACAACCTCAGTGGGATTGACCGTCTTCAAGCTACTTTTGAATGCTACATTTAGGTCGGTCCTTGTGTAACCCCAAGACTCAAGTGATATTCCCCATGACTTCCTGATTCTTATTGTGAATACAAGGGGGCTGGAGAGATGGCTCAGTGGTTAAGAGTACTGTCTGCTCTTCCAAAGGTCCTGAGTTCCATTCCCAGCAACCACATGGTGGCCCACAACCATCTGTAATGAGGTCTGGTGCCCCTCTTCTGGCCTGCAGGCATACACACAGATGGAATATTGTATACATAATAAACAAATATTTAAAAAAAAAAGTGTGTCAGATAACGGGGCCTTCACACTACTCTGCAGTACTTCATCCTTGGGTTGTTTCCTGTTGTTAGTTTGGATCAAGGTCCTTGTCAGCTAAGACACGGCATAGCTTAAATTACAGGTTGTGGGCAGATATTCACAGTATTTAAATTCCTAGGGAAAGAACATGTCTTCCTGAGTGGCTGCCCCCTTCCTTGCTTCAGATCAGGCTATGCCCGGGCTCTTGTCTTGCTGTGAGGACAATCCAAGTGTGTATATACACAGGGCATTGCCCACCTGGCAACGGTGCCTCTAACTGATGTTATATTTTGGGTCTTTGTTGATGGGGCAATGTAAAATCAAGGCGGCAAGTGATCGGTACACACTCTGTCTCAAAGCCTTGCTGGGAATCCACTATTTACCAGTTTTATAGGTCTTCAGCTAACTGCTTTGAGGATGGATGCCAAACAGAAGCATAGTGGCCAGGAGTCTTCAGCAGATTACAGGACAATAACCAAAAGGAAAATAGAAACAGTTTTCTACGAATGTTTTGGTGTATAAAATAAGGAACCAGCTATATAGATGGAAAAGAAAGGGTACATTTATTTTATGTTGACTAGGAGAGTCTACAGACTTTCTTTTATGCATTAAATTTATTTTCAAATTATTTTTAATTTAAGCATATTTGTATTTTGCCTACATGCATGTCTGTATACCATGTGCATGCCTGGTGCCTGTGAAGGCCAGAAGAGGGTGTCAGAGCTCTTAAAACTGGAGTTACAGATGGTTATGAGCTTTTACGTGGGTGTGGGGGATCAAACCCAGGTCCTGTGAAGAGCAACCTGTGCCCTTAGTCGTGGAGACATCTCCGCAGCCCCAGACTTTCTTTTCAAAGATGAATTTTTATTTTGAGTTATGTGCACATGTGCATGCATCTGTGAGGTCTGTGCACCTGAGAACAACGCCTGCAGAGCCTAGGAGAGACGTCAGGGCCTACAGAGCAGGACTTAGAGGTGTGGAGACCTACATGGGTGCTGGGAGCCAAACTCCAGGCTCTACAAGAACAATCTGCACTCTCAACCCCTGCGCCATCTCTCCAGTCCCAGTCAGCAGATTCTAAACCACGTGCATGACAAACACAAAGAACACACACAAACAAACACGTATATGAAAGAGAAAGCAAAAGACAAAACGCTATGTGTATAACTAACTCTACAGTCTACGTACAAGTTCTATATGCTTAGCACTGGGTTCTAGCTAAGAAGAACAAGGTGAAGGCACAGCTTACACCCAGCAGGTATGCCACAGCTAGGGCTCCAGGAAGAAGGAAGACTTAGGTTCTGTCTGCTCCCAGTCTCTTAATGAGCTATCTTACTGAAGGAGGAATGGTGGGGGCGGGGGGAGTGGGCAGCTTTAATTCCACCACTTGAGAGGCAGAGGCAGGTGAATCTCTAGATTCGAGGCCAGCCTGGTCTATAGCATGAGTTCCAGGACAGCCAGGCCTGTTACATGTGTTACAGAAAAACACCTTGTCTGAGGGAACAGGGGGTGAGAGCTGTCTTTGCTGTCAGGTCCACTCCCATGCTTTTATGTTATCGGTATGCTGTTAAAATTATTCTGTTTTTATCAGGGATGGGTGGTATTACTCTCTTAAATGAAACTGAAATTTATGCCCTGGCAATGCTGAAGCATGCATAGGCAGCCCATATATGGCGGTTCTGCTGAACTTGACCATATTGGGTTCCATATGTCCTCATAAGTTGATGAGGATGACTGACCAGGTCTCTTCCTCAACAGAGTCCCAGATCTCATTACAGATGGTTGTGAGCCACCATGTGGTTGCTGGGAACTGAACTCAGGACCTGTGGAAGAGCAGGCCGTGCTCTTAACTGAAAGACCCTCCACGAGTGTCTTTCCTCTGGGGAGACCCTTCCCAAGGAACAGCGAGACCACTTGTACGGATGCAAACAGCAAGAGGTTTATTCAGATACACAGGTACCTGGAGCAACAAAGTCTCTCGGAGGACTTGTGTGCCTCCAGGTCGGAGTAATGGGTTTATATATGTTTTGGGGAGCAAAAAGCGCGGTACAGAAGCGAGAAGCATAGTTACAGGGTTTTTATTGGTTAGTTTGAATGTGGCCGAGTTCAGGTCGGGACAAGGTCCCTAGTTTCCGAGAATTCAGATATGGGCTGCCTTGGCTCTTATCTAGGGCAGAGAGGGTGTCTTCTCGGTGTTCCTCCCCACCTGGGACAGACGAAGCCCAGCCACATTCTTGGTATTCCTCGTTCCTCCCCCGGCCCAGCCACAGGTGTCTCTATCTCGTTTTGGCAGCTTCTAAACTGCCCTTTGTTCAAACCCTGAATATTCAGTACAAGCCTTGTAAAATGGCGCTACCGGTGCTAAGTCGTTTAACAAGCTGGGCGGGGGGTCTTTTATTCCCCCAAGTCTTATGACTTTGAATGGAATCTTCCATTCAATTGCTTTAAGTGGATTCGGGAATCTCCAGGTCAAATTGCCTAAGTTGGTGATACTGTTGAGTTAACACCAGAGCCTGTATGACTGATAATCTGTCTTTCATGAATTGGACCAACCAGTTAAGGATACAGGGTCCAAAGAGTAAGATTAGGAAGATGATAATTAGGGGTCCCATAATGGAGGAGACTAAGGTGGTAAACCATGGGGACCGATTAAACCATCCTTCAAACCAACCTTGTCCTGATTCAAATAATTGCTGTCTTTGTTTAAGTCTTTCCCTGAGCTTGGCCATGTTATCTCGCACCAGCCCAGTATGATCTGCATAGAAACAACATTCCTCCTTTAAGGCTGCACATAACCCTCCTTCCTGCAGGAACAAGATGTCTAATCCCCTTCTATTCTGTAAGACTGCCTCAGAAAGGGAAGTTAAGGACTTTTCGAGGGCGCTGATTGATTCTCCCAGAGCTTGGAGGTCTGTATGCATTGCTTGCTGTAGTTGCCTAAATTGGGAGGTCTCCATCAGGGCAGTGACCCCGCAGCGATACCTCCAACAGTGAGTCCTCCAAGCAGTAAGGCTAATGTTAATGACATCGGCTCTCTGCAGGGTCGGGTCATACCCTCGAAGTGGCTGTAAATGTATTCTGGTTCATGGTATACAATTTTTGGCCACAATTCTATCAACACACAGTAATCAGAGACCGAGTTAAGGGCCTGGGTGGACACACATGGTGTCAAACCTGAGTTACAGGCCCAATATGTTCCATTGGGGCCTGTCAAGTAATATGAGCCAGGGCTGATCTCCTGAGTTGAGTTGCATAGAGCCTGATGGGTACTGGGGATCGTTCCAATGCAGAGCCCTTGACCTGATACCTCCGACAAGGTCAGTTTATGTTGTGGCCCCGAGGCACATGTACTTGGGGCAGTAGTTTGGTTAGTGAGGTTTCCTGTAACGGCCATCCCCTCATAATATGGGGGTCTTGAGACCAGGCATAACCAACATTCTTGTGTTTTACTGGGATAAGTATAATTGAGAGTCAGGAACGCTCCTTGCACCAAGTTGAGCAACCTGTCCCCAGTCCCCTACTCGAAAGAGAATTGACTAGTGGAGGCCTTGGTGGTGAGACTCTGGGTGTTAACATTAGGCAGCGAGGTGGTTGTTAGGATATGGGGGAGGGGTGCCGGGGGCTTGACCGGCCTTGCTTGGGAGGATAATCGCTGTTCTGTCAGAACCTGGTTTGGCCCAACAGGATGGGTTATTAAATCAGCCTTGAGCCTAATCTTAAAGGTTATTCCCCTATCTGTAGAGGTCATATACCATCTGAGGCCCCCAGGTGTACCCTCTCTGCCATTCAGGGGCTGCTTTACCTGATTCCGTGAATGAAATGTTGAGGGGTAAGCAATATCCAGTGGAGCAGACAAAGCCTCCGGGACTGCACATGCAAGATTGTCCATTTCCCCCTCCATGAGGCTTTTCCAGCCTCGTCTTACCCGGATTTTGTCCCATGAGGACGATGGGTTCCAGTACGCACTACCCGTAGTTTCACATCCCCAGGCGGCACAATAGTAATCATCATATCCTCCACAGTGATAAGCAAAGGTGGGGCTTCTCCCATCTCTGGGGCAGACATAGAAGTCATGAGAGGCTAGTGTACATCTCTCTTCCGGGGAAGCACATCCCACAGGAATGGGTATGTAAGCTTACATTCTTCCGGTTACAGAAGGCATTCTTACTGATAAGTTGTGGGCCTCCTGGGTTATTATGTCCCAGTCATTTGATCCTGCAGCTAACTGGCAAAAATCGGGTGTGAGAGTAGGCCACCAAGTGTTAAGTGCATGGTTGCCCTGAATTTCACAAACAATCTCTCCACTTGGGGACAGGACTTGCCATTTTAAGGAGTATGTCTGGTGTGGGCTCCCCCCTAGGGTTGCCCCTACCAGTTCTAGCAGGGCCCAGAGAGTAGTCAAGGGGCCCCACAGGTGAGTCTTAGTTTTAACGGGTTTTGGGTGCACTGGACTCTCCATGGTGGGGTCGCAGTTGGCTCCTTCTCCTCAGGGTGATGGGTTGTCTTGACGTGGGAGGCGTGGACCCAGGCGGCGATGCCGTCAACTTTCAGCGCCATGGGGGTGGTCAGCAGTACGGTGTATGGTCCCTTCCAGCGGGGTTCTAGGTTTTTGGTCTGATGTCTGCGGACCCAGACAGTGTCTCCTATCTGGAAGGGATGTGGTACCACCGGTTTGTCCAGTTGTTCCCGATAGGCTGCAGCTAATGGCCTCCAGACCTCTCTCTGGACAATCTGCAGTGCCTGTAAATGAGCTTCCAGAGAAGGGCTGTTAGCAAAATCAGCAATATTAGAGTCAAAGAAATTAATGAATGGTGGAGGTGTCCCATATAGTATCTCAAATGGGGTGAGTCCATGAGGGCCCGGCGTGTTTCGGGCCCGGTAGAGGGCTAGGGGAAGGAGGAGCACCCAGTCTCTAGAGCCAGTTGCAAGCGTTAATTTGGTCAAAGTCTCCTTGATGGTTCTATTCATCCGTTCTACCTGCCCTGAACTTTGGGGTTGGTATGCACAATGTAATTTCCAATCAATCCCCAATAGCTTGGCCACCAACTGACTTACCTGGGAGACGAAAGCAGGTCCATTATCAGTGCCCAATACCTGCGGCATGCCATACCTGGGAAAGATTTCTTCCAAGAGCTTTTTAGTTACAACCTTAGCAGTCTCGTGCTTGGTGGGAAAGGCTTCCACCCATCCTGAAAAGGTGTCCACGAATACCAATAGGTATTTGTATCCATATTGTCCAGGTGTTATTTGGGTGAAGTCAATCTCCCAATGAGTTCCGGGGCGATGCCCCCGTACCCGGATCCCTGACCCCAACTTGGTCTTTCCTGCACTAACTTGTGCACAGGCCTTACATTTATTTGCCACAGTTTGTAAAATATCGTCTCTCCCCAGCAAGTAATAAATGCTCTCTTCTCGGTCCAAGAGGGCCCTCATCTTTTTGGGGCTGAGGTGAGTCAGTTTATGTAAGTGGGTGATCAGTTCATAAGTCTGTTTCATGGGCATGACGGGCTTATTTTTGAATGTCCAATGCCCTTTTTCAGGATCGTGCTTGCCCCCCCATTTTTCTTAGAAGATCTATGTCCTCTTGGCTATATGGGAGGGGGCAGCGTGGAATGGGTTGGGCTTTTCCTGGGGCCAAGGGAAAAACTTGGGAGGAGGGGATTATCTTCCTGAGTTCCACCTCCCGGGCAGTTGCATCTGCCAGTCGATTACCCCGTGCCTCCGGGTTGTGTCCCTTTTGATGCCCTGGGCAATGGATAATGCTCAGTTTCTGAGGCAGAAACAAGGCCTTAAGTAGGGCTAGGATCTCGGACTTGTTTTTAATTTCCTTGCCTTCCGAGGTTAGCAACCCTCGTCTCCGATAGATTTCTCCATGGAGATGGGCTGTGGCAAAAGCATACCGGCTGTCTGTGTAGACATTGAGCTTCTTACCTTCTGCCATCCTAAGCGCCTGGGTTAAAGCGATAAGCTCAGCTCTCTGGGCTGAGGTCCCTGATGGAAGAGCCTCGGCCCAGATTACCTCCGTTTCGGTGGTCACCGCTGCCCCAGCTCTCCTCTCCCCGTTTTCCAGGAAACTGCTCCCGTCCGTATACCAGGTGAAGTCAGAGTCCCAGAGGGGCTGGTCCGTCAGGTCCGGTCTGGTCCTGTGCATTTCCACAAGGATTTGAAGGCAATCATGGTGCTCTGCGTCTTCTGGCAGGGGGAGCAGGGTTGCCGGGTTCAGGGCAACCGCTGGTCCGAAGTGTACCCGGTCTGTGTCCAGGAGCATGGCTTGGTAATGAGTCATGCGAGCATTAGAGAGCGAGCGGTCTGGAGGCTGTTTGACTAGAGCTTCTACCACATGAGGCGCTAGAATAGTCAATGGCTGCCCTAGAGTCAATTTGCCAGCATCTTTGGTCAGGACCGCTATTGCAGCCACCATCCTAAGACAAGGGGGCCATCCCGAGGCTACCGGGTCAAGTTTCTTTGAGAGGTATGCCACGGGACGTCTCCAAGGGCCCAGTCTCTGGGTTAGGACCCCTTTGGCATAGCCCTGTTTCTCGTCCACGAACAGTTCAAAGGGCTTAGTCAAATCAGGGAGGCCCAAGGCGGGGGAGATCAGCAGGGCCTCTTTGATGTTCTCGTAGGCCTTCTGTTGGGCCTCTCCCCAGGTGAAGAGGGTCCCTTGTTTAGTGAATGAATACAGGGGTGCTGCCATTTCTGCAAAACCTGGGATCCAGAGGCGACAGAATCCTGCCGTCCCCAGGAATTCCCGCAGCTGTCGGGGGCACTGGGGGACGGGAATACTCGTAATTGTCTGTTTGCGGGCCTCAGTCAGCCATCTCTGCCCATCTCTTATTTGGTAGCCCAGGTAGGTAACTTGCCTTTGACAGATTTGAGCCTTCTTTGCAGATGCCCGATATCCTAGGCTCCCCAGGGTTTACAAGAGAGCTTTGGTGCTTTTCCTGCAGTCCTCCTCTGAGGTGGCTGCCAGTAAGAGGTCGTCCACGTATTGGAGTAGGATCATAGCAGGGTATTGAATTCTGAAATCAGCTAAGTCCCTATGCAGGGCTTCATCAAAGAGCGTGGGGCTGTTCTTGAACCCTTGTGGGAGCCTAGTCCAGGTTAACTACCCAGATATTCCCAACTCTGGGTCTTTCCATTCAAAGGCAAAGATGGGCTGGCTCTTGGGGTGTAGCCTCAAGCAGAAAAAGGCATCCTTGAGGTCTAGCACTGTGTACCAGGTATAGGTTGGGGACAGCCCACTCAGCAAGTTGTAAGGGTTGGGGACTGTGGGATGGATGTCTTCCACCCGCTTATTGACTTCCCTTAGGTCCTGCACTGGGTGGTAATCCCCCGTCCCTGGCTTCTTTACTGGGAGGAGGGGAGTGTTCCAGGGAGACTGGCAGGGAACCAATATCCCCTGGTCCAATAATCTCCTAATGTGGGGGCGAATTCCTTGGTAGGCCTCGTGGGACATGGGGTACTGCTTGATCGATATAGGTGTTGCCGTGGCCTTTAGTGGGATCATTAGCGGTGCCTGCTGCAGGGCCAGTCCCATACCCCCGTCTCTGCCCATGCATATGGGAACTTCTCCAACCAGTAGGTCATCATCAGATTCTGGGTTTTTTCAGGCTCATACAGTCTGTATTCATCTTCTAGATTAAGAGTTAACACATGTAAAGGTTGACCTTGGGGCCCAGTAATGCGTGCCCCCGTCCCCTCAAAATATATCTGTGCCCGCAGTTTGGTGAGCAAGTCTCTCCCTAGTAAGGGGTACGGGCAGTCAGGAACAAGCAAGAAGGTGTGAGTCACCTTACCGGTTGCCAGCTGTACTTTTCAGTCCGTCGTCCATCGATATCTTCTTCCTCCAGTGGCCCCCTGGACCCAGGCTGATTTATCACTCAAGGGTCCCGGGGCATGGGTTAACACCGAATGCTGGGCCCCGTTGTCTACCAGAAAGGTGACGGGTTGCCCCCCAACATCAAGGGTTATCCTGGGCTCAGGGGAGGGGGGGGCTCATGACCCCGACTTCCCTAGTCCTCCAAGGTCAGCAAGGAAGCCTGGGGTTTTGGCTTCCTTGGTCCCCTTGGTCTCTTAGGACAATCCTTAACCCAATGTCCTTTTTCTTTGCAGTAGGCACATTGGTCTTTGTCCACTCGGGGGCCTCTTCGGTCTCCTCCCTGTCTATCCTGTCTCTGTCCTGAAACTACAGTGGCCAACAATTTACTAATTTCCTTGTTTCTCTTGCGATCCCTCATGTTTTCTCTTTCCTCCACCTCCTTTTTGAGCCTCTGGTCTCTTTCCTCCTGAGTCTCTCGCTTATTGAAAATTCGCTCTGCTGCCGGGCGATGGTGGCGCACGCCTTTAATCCCAGCACTCAGGAGGCAGAGGCAGGCGGATCTCTGTGAGTTCGAGACCAGCCTGGTCTACAGAGCTAGTTCCAGGACAGGCTCCAAAGCCACAGAGAAACCCTGTCTCGAAAAACCAAAACCAAAAACAAAAACAAAAAAAAAAAGAAAATTCGTTTTGCTTCCTTCAGCAAATCTTGGAGTGAACTCTCTTTAAGATTATCAAGCCACTCAATTTTCTTTCTGATATCTGAGGCTGACTGCCATATGAAGGACATAGAAATGTTAGTAGCCTGACCTGGATCCTCTGGATCATATGGAGTGTATATGCGGTAGGCCTCCTTTAGCCTCTCAAGGAATGCTGAAGGTGACTCCTCGGATCCCTGCATTACCTGCTTAACCTGGGCCAGATTAGTGGGATGTCTAGCCGCACCATGGAGACCCGCTATGAGCAACTGGCGATAGAGGCATAGGTGGTTCCTACCTTCGGCCATGGTAAAGTCCCAGTTGGGACGCTCCAGGGGGAATGCTGCCTCGATCTCATTGGGCAGCTGAGTGGGGCGACCATTATCCCCAAGCACATTTTTTCAGGCTTCTAGGAAAACTCGCTGTCTCTCCTCAGTGGTTAGCAGGGCCTGCAGCAATTGCTGACAATCATCCCATGTGGGTTGATGAGTTACTAGAATAGACTCAATCAAAGAGGTTAGCATTGAGGGATCCTTGGTAAAAGATGGGTTGTTATTTCGCCAGTTGTAAAGGTCAGACGCTGAGAAGGGCCAATATTGAAGCTGGCCGCTCGGTCCCGCATGCAGCGGAAAAGCCCAGGATGTGGAATCTGGCTGCTGCTCTCTGCATCCTCTCAGTCGTCTGGCCATAGGGGAGGGAGCTGGTTCGACCGGGAGTTCCGGTGGCTCAGCCTCCCTCTGCTGCTGTTCCGGCCCTGGCTCCTGATAGGGAGGGGGTTCTTCCATCATCAAATCTACCAGGAGGTCCTCCCCAGGAGGCAGGACCGGGGGTGCCCCCAAAGTTTTCTTCTTCTCTGTTGAACTCTCCACCTGCGTGGGTTTCATGAGGGCTAGGTAAAGGGAGGATTTGGTAGGGGACCGAGCGGGCGTGGGGAGCAGGGGTAGTGGTGGAAGGGTCGGGGCAGAGGGAGCTGCGGGAGGGCGTTTGGGGGTAACAAAGGGTTTGACCCATGGGGGTGGGTCATAAGCCATAGCTTCCCAAGTGACAATATATGCCACCTGATCCGGGTGTCCGTGTGGCCCTGGATCTATCACTTTGGTTTTAACCTGTGAAATGATGTCAAGGTTAAAGGTCCCGTCCCATGGCCATCCTACATTGAAAGTGGGCCATTCAGACGAGCAGAAAGTGACCCATCTCTTCTTGTGAACGTCCACGGATTGGTTTTTGGCCGTGTCCTGGACGTGTCTCCAGTGCTGTAACGTAAGACTTAAGGGGGTGGTAACAGACTGTCCCATTGCCTCAAATAGGACCACACCGAACACAGACCCTACGAATAGCAGACACACACCGAGACAACACAATCTCGCAGCGCGGCAAAAGCAAATGCTCAGATGGAGACAATGAGAGTCCGGACCTCTCGTCTCCCAAAAGAACCACGTACCCTTCGGACAGCGGGGGTGCCCCAAAAAGCCCGACTTGGGTACCAGGGTTCAGTGAATACGGATGAGCCAAAAACTTGGCTCCAAATGCTCCTGGAACGTCTTCCAGTGCTGCAGTCGGGAGTTCCTGAACCCGTCGGTTCCTCCACGATTACACCCAAATACCAGATGACACAGCTGGGTCATACGGACGCGGTGCAATGATCACAATGACAAACAGTGACGCAGAGACAAACACAACAGAGATCAATCGCTGGCCAGCTTACCTCCCGAAAAAATGGGTCAGTGGTCCCTGGGCAGGGGGGGGGTCTCCAAATCCCGGACGAGCCCCCAAATGAAAGACCCTCCACGAGTGTCTTTCCTCTGGGGAGACCCTTCCCAAGGAACAGCGAGACCACTTGTACGGATGCAAACAGCAAGAGGTTTATTCAGATACACAGGTACCTGGGGCGACAAAGTCTCTCGGAGGACTTGTGCGCCTCCAGGTCGGGGTAATGGGTTTATATATGTTTTGGGGAGCAAAAAGCGCGGTACAGAAGCGAGAAGCATAGTTACAGGGTTTTTATTGGTTAGTTTGAATGTGGCCGAGTTCAGGTGGGACAAGGTCCCTAGTTTCCGAGAATTCAGATATGGGCTCCCTTGGCTCTTATCTAGGGCAGACAGGGTGTCTTCTCGGTGTTCCTCCCCACCTGGGACAGATGAAGCCCAGCCACATTCTCGGTATTCCTCGTTCCTCCCCTGGCCCAGCCACAGGTGTCTCTATCTCGTTTTGGCAGCTTCTAAACTGCCCTTTGTTCAAACCCTGAATATTCAGTACAAGCCTTATAAAATGGCGTTACCGGTGCTAAGTCGTTTAACAAGCTGGGCGGGGGGTCTTTTATCTGGTGCTAAGCTGCTTAGCAAGCTGGAGGGGGGGTCTTTCATAACCATTGTGCCTAATATGTAAATTACCGAGGGGAGTAGACAGACTACCTGATTGGCAAACAGATGAGGAGAGGGCCATGAGCAGATAATAAAAGGGGAGAATTTCCAAGATGGCTGACTTCCTTGACCTCCTGACTTGAGACAAGAGATTGACAGTTTAAAGCAAAGGCCTTGTGGGATTTTTGCTCCCAACAAGCAAGCAGGTCCCCTGGCTCAACAAGTCACACAACAATTGCTGGCCAATCAATCATCCTGTCTTCAAGCTGCCTAACCTGAATTATAGGAGGAAGACTCTCCAGAGACATTTAAACCCCCAGCCCCCAAGAAGGAGCTGAAATTGTTGCTTTTTTGAATCCCCCCCCCCATCTGCTTTGCAGAGGGTCGTTTTCTCTGTGTGTCTGCTACGTGTGTGTTTATCACCCACGACAAACAGCTTTCTTCAACTGCTGATTCTGTCTGCGGTGTCTGAGATTTCTCCTCTACTACCCGTTGTGAATTTTCCTGGCTTTCAATTCTTTAAGTTGCAGCAAGAGCAAACCTGATGGAGACCCCTAGACGGCAACACTATCAGAGGAAAGCATGCAGGGGAAAAAGCATAGTTTAGGAAAAGCAAGGGTACAGAATTGTCACATTTCCAGACGCCCACACGCCCACTGAGACTGAAATGTGTCCTCTGTGGGTGAACTCTGATTTACTCTCACTAGGGTCGCTCTGTCGCCATCCAGGCTTCAGGAATGACTGTCACTCACGGGAAACATGGAAGCAGTCAATTCTGCAGGCAGTGAGCCAAGATGGCCACCAGGGGGCAATAAAGGACCAAACTGGAACTGTGACCAGGCCTCTGGACTAGGAAGGCAGAAATTCACATCAGCTTTGGGGGGAGGGGGGGGGGATGACCCAGGAAAAAGATCTCCTCCAGGTTCCAAAGGTTGAGAAAACAGGAGAGAAAGCTGCCCAGAGTCAGCCCTCTCCTAACCCCCCTCATGCTTGTGAATCTGCCTTCAGTCGTCTCCGAGAGACCTGGGACCTTTCCTTGAAGGCTGCTGCTGAAGCAAGGATCTGCCCTACATATGATAGCCCTGGCACACACGGCAGCTAGCACCGTGGAGAAGGAATAGCACACACTGTAGGGGCTTGAAAAGTTTAAGAAAAACACCCCATAGCAAGGCACCCAAGGGCCCAATCAAGCTTCTTGGCCCCACTAGCCTCTAATGCTAAACAAAGCCCAACCCTCCCCAGGGCTCCAAGGAAGCCTGACAGACAGGCCCTGCCCCCATTCTGCCTCCTGACCCATTCCTGTCTAGCCCTGCTTGGAGCTGCGGGCTCTCTGCTTCCTTTGGTGATACAGAGTGCTACAGCTATTTCTTTATGGAGGGAGGGAGGAGTTTCCAGAATCTCACCAGAAGACAGAAGGTGAGCAGGCCTCCCACTGAGCTTATACAAACAGCCCACAAAGGCTGGGCAAGGGGAGAAGGCAGTGAGGTCACCAGCAAGGTGCAGCATGGTCTCCAGTGATGCACTCCAATAATTCAGCTTTTTTGAGTCATTAACCGTACTCCCGTGGGCTTCTGGGGGATTATGAGCAACCCAAACAAACCAACAGGTCCACCAATCCAGACTTGGGTGTGATCCTTCCTCTAGTAGCCATCATCTTTAGATGATTTATCATTAGAGACCAGCCCTAGTTACCCGACTTCAGTTCTAGGCCTGGTGTTCCTAGATCCTCCCTGTCTCCTTCAAGAATGAATAGGCTGCACGGATTACAAAGGAGCTAGAATGTTCTATTCAAAGGAAAACAATAGTACGAATTAGAGAAGGGTACATTATCAAGATTGACAGCAATCACACGACTGAAGGTACTCAAGGGTCCAGGATGTTGATTGGAGCTTTTTGCAACAGGGACTAAAGGGGGGGGGGGGCTACACTATACTAATTAACTATACTAAGGTCATAGTTTAAGGTTAAAGTTTAGGTGTTTTCTATTTTGATTGACAGATTATTATGTAACCATTTCCCACTGTGTGTGTCTCTTCCCATAATGCACCTGTTAATCATATGCATGATCAATTATATGCTAGGTATGGTAAATAGGGGATGGTAAGTTTGCTTGACTGCACATGTACCCCAAACCAGTTCAAGCTTGATTGGCCTTTTTCCTCTCATACCTGGCATTGTCTGAAGACAAGCACACAGACTCATCTAGATTGGGTGGTGGTTAAGGGAAGAGAGCTCTACTGTATTGCCCAGTGTGGCATGCGCATGACTCAATGCAAGCAGTGGTCCTAGGTTGTGTTAGGTTACAATCGCTAAGTGCATTGTTCAGAGAGGGGTGTGCACAGCCCATACCAAGTAGAGTCCTAGGCTGCTAACCTATTCTCTATGCTTGCCTCCCCCAGTTTGTTGACGTCTCCCCAAGAAAAGTTAAACAGTATATGGAAATGTCACTCCAGTGATGTCACTATCCCCAACCTCAGAGAAACATTTAGGTTTGATCAGAGAGTTGTCCTGGGTGGGTTAATGTTGATGGAGGGAGAGGTCATTCATCTTCTTTTGGTTCTTGAGGCCTAAACATGACTAGCGGTGGGGAAGAGCCGATCTTTCCATGGTGCTCAGAGTCACCTGACTGGTCAGCATCACCAGCTTTGGCAGTATTTTCGGGATTTGTGGAGGTCAGGCAGGACTCAGAAAACACTAGGACTGGTCCCGATGGCCAGCTCCGTGGGGTTTCTTCTCTCTGGTGTCTGGGGGGGCAGCCTTTGCTGGACAACTACAGAGCGCCCTGACAAGCTGCAGTGGCTCTATTGGCGCCCCAGCAAGGCGCTGCTGGAATGTTGGGGCCCCTGCCCTGGACCTGGAGAACTGTTGGCTATCCTCCATGTCAGGAAAAGAAGCCACCCTGGCCTGGGCCTGCACCCTCTGCCTCTGCTCCTTCCTACAGGGCCTCCCCCAATCCCTCTCTGACCTTGCTAAGCAGAATTCTCCATCTACCGAGTTCTATTTATTTGACCTTGCATGGCTCTTTCTGCCACATTCTGTCTCTGCTCCTACCCCCACCCCAGCCACCCCAAAGATGCTCCCTGGGCCTTATTTGAGCTTGGTTCCTTTCCACCAGACTAATCAGTAGTGACATCTCTCTGTGGCAGGGAGCCACTGGGGCACAGAGAAATTATTCTCATTCATCGTTAAGTTACCTTAACAAATGTTTACGGAGCATCCGGAACATGCCAGGCTCCGAGCTGCTGTCAGGCAGCCCCAGAGACAGGATTCTAACTCTTACATCTGACAAACTAGCAGTGATGGATGGAGAGAAACATTATTAGAAACAAGGAAAGGGAGACGCAGTTTCAAACTGTTCTCAGCAGAGGCAGGAATTGACAGTCACCCTGGAACCCGAGAGAAGAAGGCGCCTGGTAGTCAGAGCCCTAAGGGCTTCTCATCCCTCGGAACCCCGCTTCTATATGTGAGCAGATACAGCAAGTGCAAAGGCCCCAGGGTAAGACGAGGTCACTTTTCAGGCCACTAATGGATAAACAGTATAAGAGTGAGGCAGGAGATGGAATTTTGAACTTGACGTATCCAAGTCACACTGATGTCTCCACGAAACCCGCCACACTGCTATCTCCACCCAAAGACTCCATTCTCCCAGCACTCAGGGCCCCAGTCTTGCAGTTAGCACTGGGCCTCTCCTGTGTGCCTTATCCTGCCTTTGGCAAGTCCGGTCAGCTCCACTGTCCTCTGGGGTCAGACTACTTCCTCCACCTACATGGTGGCCATCCTAGCCCAAAGCCCACTATGCCCTCTTCACCTGTGAAGACGCGCCAGCCCACGTGGTCTCACTCAGATGGTCCATACCTCCTTCCGAGGGCAGCTCAAGTGAACCCTGTGACCGCGAAATCCTCACCTACTGGGACTCTCCTGCATGCCCTTCCCTC